ATCTAAAGACAGCCTTGCTCAAAGCCCAATCTTTTCGGTGTGAATGAACTGGCACCTATCTGCTGATTGAAGGGTTTCCAAAGTCCTTCAGCTTCATGACGTTTGGGGGATACAGGCTGGGATCGCTCTCTCCATCTGAGGGATGATGCAGCAAGGCCTAGAGAGCGGGCTTGCCATGCACAGTCACATCAAGCTGGGTCTGGACAGCAGCCCACCTTTACCAGACGGGAAGGACTCGCGCACACTTTAGTGCAATTTGCTTGTATCGCAGAATTACATTGGACTTTCCACCTCTGGACTGGAAGAACATTCGAGGTTCATTTCCTTACACCTCCTAGGACCTATGGTGCTGTGTGCCCATGAGCACGCTCTGAGCTGCGTCTCCTTCGTTGGTAAAATCAAGTGATTGAGACACCAGGAAACTGCTGGTGCTTGGATGTGGCTTTCTTCCCTTTGCAAGAGCCACCACACCCTGAATAAGACCCAGAGACAAGCTGTCGACTAAGAGTTTGCAAGGCTCATTTGCATACGATTTGCACAGAGTGTTTATCAGAACCCAAAGAGGTCTGCTCTGCAGTCCACCTTCGCTGTGCCAGGTGGACCCAGAGACAGTGGCCTTCAACTCAGAGCCACCTCAGGGCCCAAAGAAGGGCAATCGGGACTGGGTTACAGGACTGGAGTGGTCTTAGGGTAAAGCCATCACTAATTCACCCACTGAAGCCCCCGGACCCCCCTACCCAGCCCCCTTCAGCAAAGTCAAGGTGTTTCACTTTCTGGTGGCTAGAATGCCACTTTTTGAGGGCCATCAGGTGGCCCCCCCTTTCCTCCTCGGGCTCCTGAGGGGCAGGGAGAACCTAGGAGAGCAGAGCCACCAGGGCAGGAACGGAGGGAAGGAGGAAGGAAGTGGGACCAGCAGCGGTTGAGGCTGAAGGGGTGTGAGGAGGCAGGCAGGGGGCTCGGGTTCCCTTCCTCAGCACGCTCCGGAGGTTGTTGGGGGTGGGCCGCGAGTCCCGGGCCAGCGGCCAGCACATTGTGGGCTCTCCCACGACCTTTGGGGTCTCCGCTGGGAAACGGGCCAGGAGCGCCCAACGCCCTCTCACCTTTGACCTGCGCCTCATAGTCAGCCTGCGGCCCTCGCTCTCGGCGTAGCTTCCCATGCATAGCCATGGTCGCCTGGTGGCCACGCCGTCAAACCCAGCAGCTCCCACGCGGCCGCGAGCGAGCCAGGCGCGGGGACCCGCGGGCCCGGCAGCCAGCACCCTGCGCCAGCCCCGCCCCGCCCCGCCCCGCCCCGTCCCATCCTCAACGCGGCTCCTGGGGCGGGGCGCCCTGGGCCTGGCACTGCCCAAGAGGGTCTCGGCCTGGTGTGGTTCTCACTGTAGCTGGACCTTGCTTCCCCCGCCCCCCGCCCCCCCCACACACACAAGGGCATGCCCTTGGGCAGCCTTGTGCCCCAGGTTCGGCTGCTAAGCAGCCAGGGTGGCTGTGAGAGCCCCAAGGTGCCTGACAAACTGGCATCCTCTGGCTGCCGCTCCCTCCCAGACTCCAGAGGGCTTTGTGGTCCCCATTGCCAGACTGCACCCCTCACATCATGGCCATTAGCCATCAATGCCAGTGTGCAGCAACACCATAAGCTGCTCCTGACCGCTGGGCTCCCATGGGTCAGCTGCCTTCCCCAGACTCCCAGGACGTTCAATGGGGCCGACCCTTCCCAACACTAGGAGAGCCGGGGGGAAGGAAAGTCAGCAGGGGAGACCAGAACCTGCCTTTGGTCCCTCCAGGCCACATGGTGGGGTGGGGGCAGGGGCAGAGGGTAGGGCTAGGCTAATGTTCCCCTTCTGTTTAGCCCCATAGAGAGGAACCAGCCTTGTTTCCCCATAGGTGGTTACCACTTCCTGCTACCGGAAGACACTCTTCTGTCTCCTTTCCCCTGCATCTCACACCTGCTCTGTCTTAGGCCTGGGGGGCTGGGGAGGGGTAGCCCTCTTCCTGAACCCTCAGAACAGGGCTTTACTGAGCCTGGGGGGAAGCTTGGAGCTTCTCTTATCTAGGGATGCTTCACGTTTCTCTAGCAACTCAAAGTCAGAGGGCAACAGTGTTTCTCTGGTATACTAAGGCAGGATGCAGTTAGCAAGTGACAAAGCGGAGTAGACAACCATGTTAGAGAAATCCCTGGGATACACAGATGGTGACAAGGGTAGCAGAAGTATTTAGGCTTTGGGGTGGTGCCCAGGGAAGGGGAGCCTGTGGGCACTTGTGCAAGGGGTCCAGGCATGTGTTTACATGGACTTCAAAGTCAGGCTCTGTGCAGATGTGGGCACACATGACCCTGACCTGCAGCTCTGCAAGGGAGACTTTGCACAGGTACTTCCTGGCTTTCAACTGTGCTCAGTTCTCTTGCCCAGAAGGGGAAAACATACCTTCTCAGCTCCCTGCCCCCCACCCCCAGTGTCTAGGCCCTTCCCTAAGGTGCAGTATGTGCACCAGGGACTGGGGCTTTTGGGCCTGGGAGCTGGATGGAACACATCTTGCCCCTTCCCCTCTATCTGAGCCCTGACTGGTCCCCCGAAGTCCCTCCCCCATTCAGCAGAGCCAGGCACAGGGCTCAAGCCCACAAGAAACGGCTGTTCAACTGGCCTCGGCCCCTACTCTCCTTCTGTCCTTCTGCTTTATCACTCCAGAACTATTCACGTGATGCCCCATTCGGCCACTGGTGTAAAATTTTGAGTCACTAGTACTGGCCAAACACTTCTTTGGCATTTAAGGCCGTACTGCCCGCTCTATCCTCAGCTCTATTGTTCCACTTCGGAGGATCTAAACTGCTCAGAAGGGCAGGACCACATCCATGCAGGACCAGATCTGTTAAACCGGTTGGCGAGTGAATATTTGGTCCGGGAGGAGGCGGGGTCAGGTCTGCTACGCGGAGAATGGACCAGAGGGAGATGAGATCGGTGGCGAGGCTGTTACCAGGTGCCTACGTCAGGTTATGCACCTCAGTGTATAGGCTCATGCCAGGGAAAACTTCCCCGGAACCCACCCACAGTCCCACGGCTAGAGGGCAGGCATTCCTGCTTTTCCACCCCCAGCCTTCCGGCCTCAGGTGGGCACGATGGCCCCGAAGCGACCGCTCCCGAGGCGAGTCCTGCAGAGGCGGAGGAAGTGCTGGGCCCCAAGGGTCACCCGGGCCTGCGGCTTCCCCTCTTTGCCCTCTGCCCTCGCCGCAACTCCTGCCTCCGCTCAGGAAACCCGACCGCCTAGGGGCGGCCGAGCTTCAACCTGCCCGCCTGGGCCGCAGGGCGCGGGGGGTGGGGGTAGAGCGTGGGTCGGACGAGGGAGGAAGGAGAGGCCCGCAAGGGACCGTGGGAGCCTCTACCGGCTCCCGCCCGCCTGCGCTGGGGCGCGGCCAAGGTAATGAGCATGCTCCACCGCTCGCCCCGCCCCGCCCTCCGCGCGGAGCCGGCCCAGCCGCAGCCGGACCAATCAGAGCCTGGGAACGAAGCCGGCTCCGTAGGCGAATCGAAAGGGACTGATGCCGGGCGCGAAAGGCGGAGCGAGGCAGAAATTTGAGTCCATCAGAACACGGCCTCCCTCCCCCTCGCCGGCGGCAGCGCACAGGCCCGCGCAGGCGCGTTTTCCAATTCCCGACCCGCCCACTGGTCTCCGCTTACCAGGCTGCCTGTTGATCACGTGGCAGGCGCCAGCCAGAGAGAGACAGGAGCTCCAACCTCTGGTAGCGAATTATTCAGCGTAGCAGGAGATCAGTGTGCTGCGGTAGCAGGGGCATAAGATAGTGACAGGTAAGGAGTGTTGAGCTCCGCTGGGAGGTGGGCGGCCCAGGCAGCCCGCCCAGGGAGGAGGGGCAGCAAACAATGGTGCTGCAGCCAGAGGGAATGGCAGGGATGAAAGGTACTGGAGCAAATTTTAGGCTTCTATTCTGCATGAATGGAGAAGGCAATGGCACCCCACTCCAGTACTCTTGCCTGGAAAATCCCATGGACGGAGGAGCCTGGTGGGCTGCAGTCCGTGGGGTCGCGAAGAGTCGGACTGAGCGACTTCACTTTCACTTTTCACTTTCATGCATTGGAGAAGGAAATGGCAACCCACTCCAGTGTTCTTGCCTGGAGAATCCCAGGGACTGGGGAGCCTGGTGGGCTGCCGTCTATGGGGTCGCACAGAGTCGGACACGACTGAAGCGACTTAGCAGCAGCAGCAGCAGCAACATTCTGCATGAAATGACATGATGTTATTTGTCAAAACCCAGAGTGTACAATGCAGAAGGAAATGTAAACCCTGAACTATAGTTATAATGTATCAGTATTGGGTCAAATGTAAGAATACAAAATGTTATTTATAATAAAGTAATTAGCCTCCAATTAAAAAGAAAAAAGAAAGGTCAAAATGTTATTAATAGTGGAAATTGGGGGGGGCGTGCATCCACAGAAACCCTGTACTATCTGCTCACCTCTGTGAATCTAAAACCGTTAGGAAGGAGATTCAAGGGGTATCACAGTGATCAAACACACAAAATTGGCAGATCTTTTAGTTTGCAGGGGAGGGAGGAATCAAGGACACTTGCCAGGGCTTAGGGAGCTGGTTGGGTCACTACTGAGATGGTAGATAAGGTCAATGAGCAGCTGAACTCCCACATCTGGAGCCTGGCAGGGCAGCAGCACAGCAAGGCTCAGAAGGCTTCCAGAACTCCAGGGTCTCTTTCCTCCACCCTCCCAGACCCAAAGATGGCTCCAAGCCATCAGACCTCTCCAAAGCCCTGACAAAGCTCTTCCCTTCTAGGAGGGCTTGCAGGACACACTGTGCCAAAAGGCTGTGAGGTCCACGTCCAGAGAACACAAGAGCCAGAGCGGGGCATCCACACACCACCCAACAGGTGCACACTCGCACACGTGAACTCCCCAAGGCCACTGGGTGAAGTTTATTGTGAAACCTCTTGCGGTGAGGATGGGATGGGCAGGCCAGGACAGGGAGGGGAGCAGGTGTGGGCTCTAGGAAGCCGAGTCAGAGGCCTCTGAGCTGTCCTTGACGTCGGTGCTCTCTGTGGTCTCGCTGACCTCGCTGAGGTCCTTGCTGTCACCACCGCTGTCCTCCGCAACCAGGCCCTTTTCCTCACGACAGGCCTCCCCTGAGCTCGGAAGCGAGTTGCCCTTGCCTTCCACCTTGTTCTCGATGGAGCCCAGCACCACATGCCTGCCCTTCTCCTTCAGCTCCAGGTGCCGCCTCAGCTGCCACCGGAAGCCCAGGAGAGGCGGGAGGAAGGAGACAGGGCCTAAGTCTCTAGACCACGAGGGTCTGCTCCCAAGGCCTGTTTCTGGTCCCTTGCTGGGGGGCGGGGCAGGCAGGGCAGGAAACACAGGACTACGTTGGGAGACCCAGGGCTAGTCCCGGCAACTGCCCCCTCTGGGCCTGTTTCCTCTTCAGTGAAGTGGAGGTGTTCATACGCCCTCACGCGGCTGCTGTGGAGCCCTCTGAATGGCCCCAGCCCCTGTGGAGCCTTGGGCAGAACCCTGACTGTCTCCTCAACCTTGGAGCCAGCCGCAGCCATCCCCAGCCCCGCGCCTCAGCACGTCCAGATGCCTCCCCACTGTCCTGTCACAGCGGCCTCTGGGCAGGACAGGCCTCCTCCTCGGAAAATGGAGTCTTGGCCCAATGACAGCCTTCTTTAAAGCCCCGCCAAGGTCCGGCTCCCCACCTGTCAGCTGAGGTGAAGAGGACCAGGACACCTCCAACTCCCTCAGGCCACCCCGCTCAGCCTGCTTGGGGCCGGCGGCCTTGGCCCCACTGGACTCACCTCATCGGCCATCTGGGTAAGGTCCCGCTTCATGGCGTATGCATCTTCCCCGTCAGCGTAGTATTTGGGCTCCACTTCGCTGATCCTGGGGGCAGGGAGGGGTGGAGAGGAGGAGAAACCGAGTTGGGGGCAATTCTCCTCCACCCTCTGTTGCCATCTGCCAGTGGGACAGGGTATCAGTGCCCCCCCCCCAAAGGCCCTTTGGAGATGTTTCCAACGTGGCCTTCTGTCTGCTTTCTCCAACAGTAAGCTGGACTCCCTCCCACCCCTGGCATCCTGCTAACACCCCTCATCCCTAACATGGCTCCTGGCTCCCAAGGATCTGTGTCTGTGGTTTCCTGGGAACCGTCACCCCTGAATGTGGCAATACCCTCCCCCTCCTTGCCCAGTTCCCTGTCACTTCCTGGGCACGCATGGCTGGCTGCCTCCCATGCCAAGCAGTTGGAAATGGGGGGTGTGTGTGCTGTGGCCTCTGTTCTTGGTGTTCTTGGATGGCCCAGAAAGGCCCCGCCAGCCTTCAGGCCCGGGAACTGTCAACCAGCAGGGGCGTCTGCATCCAGGTCAGAGATCCTCAGATGCCCAGCCCGTAGGTCCTTCCCTTCCTTAAGCAAGCTGAAGCTAAGGCTGTCTCAGTGGGCTCTCCACAAACAGCCCATCCCAGCAGCTTTCACCACAACACCCTGGGCAGGGCAGTTCCTGGCCAGGCTCTCTGTGTCCTCTGCTGGGCACACTGAGCGGACTGCTCTCGCCCACTAGGACACCCAGGGCTCTAGACCCCTCTGCTGTACCCTTCCTGCACCAATGTGCTTTGGTTTACCCTTTCTTCTGGTTCTGCTGAGATGCTTCTAGGTGCCTGGTCACTTTCAGTCCTGTTCCTGTCCTGGGTCCTTGTCTCTACTTCTGAACGCCTTCACCATGCTGCCCTTCACCTGGCCCCCACCAGCAGCAGGTAGTCGTCTTCTGCCCAGCAAGAAACACTAAATGTCCTCTAGACCCACAACACGTCTTGTGCAGACGGTGGCAGGTAGGTGTCACTGTCTCCAAGTGGAGGCCACAGCCTGTCCCTAGCTCCAGCTGCCGCCCACCCTCATGCCTAGAAGGTAGCTCAGCCCATCTCAGCCACCTGGGCAAGCCAGACCTGGGGACTGTACCATTCCCATTAGAAACATCTAGATCTACTTACTGAAAGTTGAGCGTGTTGGAATAGAGGTGCAGAGCTGCCCGGTTACTGTAGGGGAACAAGGCAGTGCTGAGCTCTACAGACCAGGCCAGACAGGGACAGCACGTCCAGGTCCTGCCCCTCCTCCCAGCCCCCCTCCCCACGAATTCCACCTCCCAGTCTTCTCCAAAAGCCAAGGCAGCCCAGGACCCGTATCAAGACAGTAGCCCCCACGCCCCTTCCTTTGATCCCAGCTTCCACCTCTTCCGGACATGCAGGGAGACATATTTGGCATTGAAGTTCTCGATCATGGCTCGGGAGGCCTGGTCCATCAGCTTTTGAGCCAGACCAAGACGCCGGTGGGAACGCTTCACAGCCTGGGGGCAGAAAAGTGGGACCTCAGAGGTGGCTCCAACTAACTTCCACGCCCACCAGAGCCTGGGGGGGGGGGGTCCTACGCACCAGCGAGGTGATATGTCCATGGGGCACATCGTCTGGGTCTTCTTCCCTAGAGAAAGAAGAAAGAGAGGATAGGAGCAAACCCCACAGCACCCCCAGACCCAGGGTAGGGGAGAGAGTCAGGGCTCTCCAGACCCCAGGCAGCAGACAAAAGACAAGTGCAGTATCAATGGAACACTATTCAGTGCTAAAAAGAAGGGAGTTATCAAGCCAGGAAAAGACATGGAGGAAACTTCAATACAAAAGACTGAGAGGCAGTCTGAAATGGCTATACTGTATGTTGAGGTACGTGCACAGTCAGTCATGTCTGACTCTTTGTGACCCCATGGACAGTAGCCCACCAGGCTCCTTTGTCCATGGAGATTCTCCAGGCAAGAGTACTGGAGTGGGTTGCCATTTCCTCCTCCAGGGGATCTTCCCCATCAAGGGATGGAACCTGTGTCTCCTGCAGTGGCAGGCAGATTCTTTACCACTGAGCCACCTGGGAAGCCCACACACTGTATGATTCTAATTGTGGGATGTTCTGAAAAAGGCAAAACTATGGAGATAGTGAAGAGATCAGTGGTTCCCTGGGGAGAGAGGAGGGATGAACAGGTGGCGTACGGAAAACTCGGCAGGCAATGAGACTACTCTGTGTGATACTATAGAAGTGAACACATGTTGTTATACATTTGTCCATATGACTCCAAGGATGAAACTTACTGTGAACTATGGACTTTAATAACAATGTAGCAATATTGTAACAGATGTACAAGGAGATATTAGTAAGAGAGACAACCAGGGAAGACAGGGGAGGAGTTATGTGAGAGGGGTGTGTATTTTGCACTCACATTTCCTCTAAAGCTCAAATTGAACTAAAGAACAGTCTATTCATTTCAAAAAGAAAAAAAAAACCCAACCCAGGCAGCCTCCATCAGACATGTGCAAATGTCAGTGTCCCTCCTCCCCCACCCGCAGGTCAGGCGCCAGTCTTGTTTCTTTGTCCCTGATGACTCACATTTTGGCCAGGACGTACCCCACGATCTTCCCATTCTCGTCCTCGGCGATGTACGAGAGCTGGAAGACAGGAGGAAAAAGGAGGCAGAAAACAAGTTTCTATCAGAGCTGGAGGAGCCCTTAGCAAACACCTGGTCAAACCGCCTGTCTCTTGCCCTGGCCATGATGGACAGCAGCCCAGGGTGGAGTTCAGTGACAGCTCCTGACCTCCAGGCAAGGTGGCCTTGTTTTCCCATACCACATGGTGCCCCTTGTTCTTAACTGGGAAGAGGTGGGCAGACAGGTGGTAATTCTCCTTCTAGGTTGGCCCTGTTCATCTCCCATCTTCAGGCACCTCCTTTCCACCCCCAGCCACCTCAGCTGAAGCCAACCCTCAGGGCCTCCTTCACCCAGGCGCCCCCCGCCCCGGACTCTTCATGGTCTCAGCCAACCCAGGGTGGGAATTCCCTGGCCTCCTTGACCCAGTCCCCAAATTCAACAGCCGCCCCACCTGGGGCCAGGAGAGGCCATGGTAGAAATAGTATTTCATCTGGTAGTTCTCAGGCAGGCACAGGAGGTTGCAGTGTTGCATGTTCATCAGGTCCTCTGGCTGCGAGGGAGGGCAGTGGAATGCGGTCAGGCCTGGGGCTGCACTAAGTAGGCCTCGGTTCTGTTGGAGCCCTGCTCGCTGTCTACTTACCGACCCCCCACCCCGACCCTCAGATCTGGGCGGGAGCTGGGACTATCTGTCTCTGCACAGGCCTGGCCCAGGGCCCCCGGGCAAAAACTTGACGGTTCCAGGAAGGGACGTGAGCGCCAGGAAGCTCCCCAACACCACCCCACGGAGCCCCGACATCCCCGAAAGAAGGGGTTCACAACCCCGGCCTTGAACCCCTGGCCTCATCTGTGGGGAGGGCCAACCCCATGGGAATGGTGGTCTTCACTGTTTCGTGCCGGGCGGCCGCAGGCGCTCCAGGCGGCCGGCCCTGGGGCTCGGCCGGGCCCCTTAGGAGCATGCGCACGCGGCCACCAGGCCCCTCTCCCACGCGGCGCGGACCGTCTCCGGACCCTGCCCCTCACCCTCGCATTGCGGATGTTCATAACGGCGGAGAAGCTCGCGGCTCCCAGCGGGTCGTGAACGCGCAGTCAGCTGCCGCCGCGCTCCGGAGCGACACCGGGGATGCCAGGCCACGGCTAGGGCTGGAGCTAGGTCCCGGATCGCGGGGGCGGCGGCGGAAGAGGCGGTGCGCGCCTGGCCCGGCCACCGGCCGGAAGTGGCGCGCTGTCGGACCCACCCTCCTGGGTATTCAGCCAATGCGCAGGGAGCTCCAAGAGCAGGGCGGGGCGTCTACACGGGGCGGGCCAATGGCCGGGCGAGCCCCGGCGCGGGGCGGGCCTCTTGTCAAGGTGGGAGGTTCCAGCGCTCTGGGTGGGTCACTGGCCGGGCGAGCAGGTGCTCTCCAGCCAAAGGCGGCGGGCGTTACCCCCACTCCCGCAACCCCACGGAAGCTCACACACACAGACAGTGTAATAGGCTTCGTTTTATTCTGCACCCGGGCGGGCGGGACCAGCGGGCGGAGGCCGGGCGCTGAGGGCCGAGGCAGGAGCGAGGCGGCTCAGCAGGTCATTCAGCATCTCCTCGCACATGGCAAGGCACCGCGGCACGTGGAAGCAGCCTACGGATAGAGGCGGGACAGCGGGTTGGGAGGGCTAGGGACAGCTAAGTGCCCTGAGCCCCTGCAGCTCCACCCTGTCCCCCACTCACCTTTGAAAGGACCCCCCTTGATAGTGAGGGCGACCTTCCCATCTCGGTTCAGGTAGCCAAACCATTCCCCGTACTCTGGATCACGAAACTGCAATAACAAGGCAGTGACAGGCAGCACCGGCAGGAGCTGCCCAGATGCCAAACGCCTGGGGAATAAGTGTTCACCCGTTCCACTAAAGCACTACCCGGGATCAGAGCCCAGGCAGATCCCAGATACCATAACTACAGAATCAGTGCTGTTAGATCCCGTGTCCTGGACAAATATGAACACAAAGGGCTTTCTCTTTTCCTTTTTCTGCAGCCGAAGTGGGCACCTAGATACCCCACTTTGGAAAGGGGCTGCTGACTGTGAGATGAAACCTTGCAAGATGGAATTTTTAAAGAACCCTGCTTGGGTATGATGGAACAGTTCCGTATCTTGAGTATACTGGTAGTTATACAGATATATATGGGACTTCCCTGGTGGCTCTGTGCAAAAGAACCTGCTTGCCAATGCAGGAGACCTGGGTTGGATCCCTGGATCGGGAAAATCCCCTGGAGAAGGAAATGGAAACCCATTCCAGTATTCTTGCCTGAGAAATCCCATGAACAGAGGAGCCTGGCAGGCTGCAGTCCATTGGGCCACAAGAGTCAGATACAACTTAGGTACTAAACACAGATATATACATTGCTATATCTCAGTGAACTGAATACTTAAAATGGATACTTAAAATATTCATTGCACTTCAACAGAATTGATTTAAAGAAAGAACAGAAGTGCTGACCTGTCATGTAACTTTCTAACAGATGATTCCCTTTGAGTTCCTGTTCTCCACTTCACAGGCCTGTCTTCCAGTTGATGAGATTGTAGATATCTAGCACTGAGCTGACTCCAGCCTTGCTTGTCGCAGGTCCCAAACACATCTCCCTCTCCCTTAGAGCCCCCTGAAGCCTGACCCTGCCCAGCAGCTGTGTTGACCCATTCCGAATTTCTTCTCTCTTGCCCACAGTTCCTTGCAGATGCTCCAGGGTAGACTCCAGAGCCCTGGCCTAGACCCTTCTCTTTCCTCCCTAGATAGAGACCTGAGTGGAATCCCTTCTCAGAAGGACTGTGGAAGAAGTCAGTGACACTGAAGTACACTATCAAAATGTCTTTTTAAATGTCGACCTGTGAATAGGTCTACTCCTCTTCACAGCAGTTAACACTAGTTCTATATCTATTCATTCTATCTTTCCAGTGACACTGCTCATGTCCTCACTTATTATTCAACTATTTGATCTGACACGGACAGATTGAACTGTTTTCCTGTCCGGCATTTCTGTGGATGTCTGAATTTCCTGTCTTCTGTTATGATGATCAGTGCATAATGACTGATCTGTTTATAAGTTTCCTGATTGTTCGATGGCCATCTCTCTTTCTTGACAATTTATTCCTTAAATTTCACTTTATGCAGTTAACCCTGATGGCCTTGAACACAGGTTCTTTTGAATGCATTCAATATTAACATACATCACCCTGGGTCTTGTGACTGTTGTGTTTGGAAGTAATGATGAGTGTGTGCAATACTGGGAGATGCCCCTAGAACTACAATGTAACATGAACATATTTGGGATGTCTACTGGTGATGAAGTCAGACACTGCTAATACCACTGTGCTTTCATTCATGATGGAAGCAAATACTGGATTTCAATTAGAGGTTAGTGTAAAGAAAGATAGAGTTTTCTCCCAGGTCACAAAACCCACAGACCACCAAGTAAGACCCCCTGTTGTAATCCCTGCTGTACTAGGGTTTACTGATGGAGTGAGTTGTGGCTTTCGAAACACATTGGGAATTTTCCTTCATTCAGGCTCAGCCCCCAAGGTGCCTCTCAGCCATGGCTGGCACAGGTCATCACTCCACTCATTACACTCAGGTCTCTAGTGGTGGGGGGTGTCCCTGGCTCCCTTTCTGCCTCACAACTGATTCTTGTCTCCTTTGCTGGGCCCTCCTATTCCCTCTTCTCTTTTCTTTCTGTCCTCAAAGCTCACCTTGCCTCGTGGCTCGCAGTATATATCATCTATATCCTTATGACACCCAGACACTTGTGGCCAGTTCAGACTCCTCCCACTCAACCAGTCTCTGAGCCCTGCTCCTGTTGCATCTTCCACCCCAGGTCAGGCCCCTGCTCACTGGCCAGGATGACAGCCACCACGCCATCTCCCTGCCTTGGCCTGGGGCCCTATGGCCTCCCCTCCCAAAGCCCCAGCACCCATGAACCCCAGAGTCAGGTTGACCCCTCTTTGCTGAGCACCCCTTCCAGCTTTTTTCTTTCCCATCAGCACCCACCCCCAGCCCCCTGACCTTGCTGTATTTCCCAGAGCTCTCATCCCCATCTTTGTTTGCTTGTTTACTTGTTTATGGTCAGTCCCACTGCCAGCAAAATGTGAGCTCCAGTGGGGAAGGGGCTGCTCTGTTGACTCAACAGAGGGTACTGGGGCCGGGACCTCCATGTCTGCTGAGGGGCAAGAGGGGGATGTGTAGGAAGACACCCTCCCCGCCCAGTCTGCAGTCTCCACACCTTTGCTGAGACCAGGAAGCAGCACTTACCTGGCGGAAGGTGTACTCGGCCACCTGGTAGAAGATGCGCAGCAAGGCGGGGTCCCCAGTCTCACTGTAGCCCATGAGGAAGGCGATCATGGCTTCACTGTGTGGCCACCAGAGCTTCATGGCCCACTCCAGCTGGGAGCAGAGAGGAGGCATCTGGAAGCCTGGGTACCGCCCTTTGCCACCCCTCTCAGCAAGAAGGTCACCCCCATCATTTAGGCCCTGGCTAAGACTCCATCTGGCCCAGGCACTTGGAGCTTCATTGTGGCATGGATGACTATGGAGGCCTTGACTGGCCGGCAGATTGGCACTAGCTTCTTGAGCCGGAAGGGCAGGGCTGGGCCAGGTTCCCCTTGAGCCCTGGAATCCAAACCCTGGCTGTCTCATTGGTCTGTCTAGAGCCCCTTGGACAGTCAGCTCCTGCCGGTGGCCAACTCAGCCACCTTCTGTGGACCTCAGTGGGATCAAGGTATAATCACACAAACATAAGGGACCAAATCTGCCCCCACTGCTGATGGCTTAAGATCACCCAGTGAACCTTTCCAAGATGAAGGGACATGTGTCTCCTTGTGTGTGTGAGCTTGAGGACCACTGGGGTCTCCCTGGGCCCCCCTCCTCTGTGAAATGGGTTGAGGACAGCCCTGGGCACATTCCCACCTGGGTGGGGCAGAGGCCATCAGCATCCTGGAAGTAGAAGAGGCCACCATGCTCAGGGTCCCATCCAGAGTGGAAAGGCAACAGTAGGAACTTGTCGATCACGTGGGCTCGAAGTTTGGCATCACCTCTTCGGATGGCATAACGGAGCAGGAACCAGCCAGCCTCCAGCGCGTGGCCTGGTGAGGGCTCAGGGTAAGGCAAGTAGTGTGGTCTCCCCCAGGTAGGGGGCTCCAGCCCCATGCGCTGCATGCTGACTCCCTTCCTCTCTTGCCAGCAGTGGGGGCTGCTTTGAGCCGTGCCCCCCAGCATGGCAGGCCCATCCTTGCTTCTCTGCCAGGTCCTCAGTGCCCAGTGTGGAGGGAGGCAGGCAGTTCCCACATCTGAAGCCCACCCAACCCCTCACCTGGGTTCTGGTGTCTCCCCAAGCAGCCTGAGAGTTCCTCACCATCCTCTGACACATTCTCCAGCACAGCCTGCCCACCCCTCTGCAGAGGGAGGATCAGAAGGGGATTCAGCGCTCAGCACCCCGCTCTGCCCCCTCCCTCCCCATCTGCAGGCTTGGGTGGGCTGGCAGGAGTGGGCGAGGGGCTTTGAGGAGCCGATTCCCTCCCAAGGGTCTGGAACTTTCTTTGGGCCTGGGCCCCAGAAGACACTGAACAGGGAGACTGAGATTGGGCCAACCTGGCTGTCCAGAGGCCTGGGAGGAAGCTGGGTCTGGGTTTCGTGCTCCTTGATGGGCCTGGGGGTCTGGACCCCACCCTCCTGCCCTCACCCCCACCTGGATCCCTGGGGTCCTCCCCCACCCTTTCCAAGGGTTCTGGGCCACACCTCCCTGTGTCTCCCCATCTGTAAAATAGACCCCTGGCTCATGAGTGGGCTTCCCTGGTGGCTCAGATGGTAAAGAATCTGCCTGCAATGTGCGGCAGACCTGGGTTCAATCCCTGGGTGGGGAAGATCCCCTGGAGGAGGGCATGGCAACCCACTCCAGTATTCTGGCCTGGGAGAATCCCCATGGACCGAGGAGCCTGGTGGGCTACAGTCCATAGGGTCAGAAAGAATTGGAGATGACTGAGCTCGGGGGTGGGTGTGGGCCTGGGGGTGGGGAATGGTGGTCA